TCCGCCACAGAAGACCAGCTGTGGGACGCAGTCCAAGCAGAATGGGAACGTTTGAAAGGAGACGCGTCTTTCGTGTCAAGTATTTACGACTCGCTGCCGCCAAGGATGGTGGCTGTAGTCGAGCTAAACGGGGATATGACCCGTTACTGAGCCTGTTTTAGTTGACTTGATTTTTCTTTGACTGCAGGTAGCAGCCATTCAGTTTTACTGCAGCAATAAAGTTTGCACTTTTCTTACCCTACACTACTGACACAACGTTGTCGTTACAGCAATTGGCTGCAGCAAACCTTATGGGCAGAAATCTTAGACGTCTGCACCCCACAGTCACCAACACACATCTATCACAGGCCAAAAGGCAATAACAATAAGGAAGACAAGAACCACAAGCTATAAATGCAGTTATCAAAGTCAGGACCACGTTAATTAATGATGTAGAGGCGCTGACCGACGATTGGTTTATGATCACCGCGCCCGAGATAGCTCTAGACTTCACAAAAAGCGGGGTCGGCGAAGCTGGCCCCGCTTCCTGTGAAGTCACAATGTTTATTTGCTTTAACAAATACTGAAACTAAACCAGAAAAGCAGATGAGCACATTGGAGGAGCTTTCATTTTAGGGTTCACCACCTTTCGGGTATGCCAAAGTTCTTGCTATCACCAGTAGCATGCGCACGGTAGACAACAGCCGTAGCAGACAACACACGTAGCAGGCGAGGCGCGTAGCAGACGACAGGCGTAGCAGACGACACACGAAGCAGACAAAAGGCGTAACAGACGATACACGTAGCAGACGACGCGCGTAGCAGACGACAGACGAGCGCTCAGATGACGTGATGCGTGTGACGAGAATATAATCTCTCCGCACGCGCGATGCGCATGCGCAGCAGTTGCGCGCCAGTCCGGTAGAGCGCTCTGATACTGCCCGCTGCCACGCGCTCCGGCGTTCCTGCTAACTGTGATTAAGATAGTACATCTTTGTTTGTAGAAAACCTTGCCTCAAATTTGATGTCCTAAAGAATGTCTGCATTGCCATAATTAAGTGTTCTTTTTAATATGCCCTGCCTTGGCCAGTCGGTGGCTAGCAGGTTTCACAGTAGGCAAAATATTCGCTTGGAGCAGCCACTGACGCTTCTGGAGCCGATGGAACACAGCCTTCTTTTTCGAAATAAAGCTCAGGTCGGAATAGGGCTTATATAAATTTCATTTTCAATGAATATTACGCCTTTCTTTTTAATTACTCTTTTTTTCACTTGGTAGCTTATTTTGCCTGTCAGTCTTATTTCACCAAAATAGCAACAAGAACCAGCATATCTGCAGATACATTTATCAATACAAATACGTCCCCCTAAGTTTTTTTTGTTTGTCTTTAGCTTGGCAAGCTCAATATTTTAATATCATAAACTGCAAAGACAACCATCCACAAATATTATGAAAACCTACAGTCGTGGTTTAAAGAAAAGCTAATAAAAGTCTTAAAAGAAAAAAAAAACAGTTAGAGGTGAGTTTTAGAGTATTTTATCCCATGATTCTGAATATTATGTTCGCTTTCCCCGAAGATGCAACTAAACGCGAGAAAACACGAAAAACCTCCGACCTGTCGTAACGTCATACCAGGCACGTAGCCAGGGGGGGGGGGGGGGGGGGGGGGGCATGGGGCTCGGCCTCCCCGACCCCCGAAACTTTCCATTTTGCTGGGGCCTCCTCTCCCCCCTCCCCCTCATGCAGCATTTTGTCATTTTATTTTTCTTCGAACTGGGGATGTTTTTTCGGGGTTTACTTTTTTCTGCAGATTCAATATTCTTTGGTGACAACTTTTGGTGTTGGTTGAAAAAAACAGGGTTTATCGAAGACTATGTTAAAGAAAATAGGGCAGGAGATTCCCCAGCTCCAGGAAACATTCACTTGACCTGAATAATCAAAATACACCCCCGTAAGGACGAGGAAAAGAAACGGGACGTAGGGTTCCAGAGCAAGAACCAGCCTCGCAGAAAGTTCATTGGTGGCAGTGTATTGTGTCAAAATAAAACTAGATTTCTTTCCCACAAAGCTTAAGTTTTTCTTATTCAAGGACACCTCCAATTCTGAGTTTTCTTGGTTCTTTCCGATTTTGATAAAACCAACTTGGGGTTTAATTTTTTGGTTTGTCGGAATTAATCGAAAACGCTAAACCCTGGTCTTAGGTAGTGCGAAGTGGGCACAGAGTTAAATCAAGATTCCGTTATCTCTCTCTTAGAAGCCGGGGATATCGCAATCAGGTATATAATTAAGACACATTGTGTCGTTGAGGAGTAAAGACCTCTCTCTACTATTTATATCTGCATTTTAACAAAGATTAAACACGCATTGTTTTACGGCGCCCCGAAAAAAAAGTTATAAATTTGGACATGTTTTCGAATTTCAGTTTCCTAACAAAACGCATCTCCACACCAGCAGTGCCGCTCTCCCGTGACCAAAGCGCGCAACTGACTTGTGTCGCCACACATGCTTTGCACGGCGGAGGTGAACCCAAGAATCGAGGCTTATTCCTGGAATGTCACTCGAATGGCATATTGTTTCATTGCGTCGGCCAGCGCCACACTTTCTTCTCTCGAACAAGGGGGGCAAGCCAATGATTGCGCGCTTCGTCCGCGGGAGGCAGGACTGCTGCCGTGAAGTTGTGCACCGGTAGGAAACCAAAACCTAGAAATTGAGTGCAAACTAAAAATGCTGCACATGTCTTATTCTTTCTTAAAAAGCGCACCGATTTTGCGGTTTTTGACGATGTCCAGACAGTTTTTAATTGAAACCGAAAATTGAAATTGAATTTTAGTAATCAAAAAGTTAAATACCAGAAAGCAATTAATTGTCGAAGGACTCCTAAACGGGTCCTTCGACAAAGGCCAATTTGACATCAGCTTTCTTTTTCTTTCTTTTCTTTTTTTCAAATGTGCGTAGTACCTAGGAGAAATGACTGTTTAGAACTTAGACAAGAGATTTTCAAGCCAAGAAAGGAAGAGTGAATAAAATAAGAAATGTACGGGATCGCCAAGTGTTTCACGACTATCTGATAGGTGGCGTCAGTGTGTTTTATCAATGAGAGATTCGGAGAGGTTTCAAGGCCCTAGGGAGTCGCGAGTGTGTGAACGGGCATTTAGTGTCTACACATTGAAAGTCAGAAGCATTCAGATTACACTTCGGTTTGGTTTCTCCTGCTTGTGTATAAGCTGTTACAGAGTTAATAAATAGCATTATAGACATTTGAGTAATCTATCTGGCCGTTGCACGCAGTTCTATATATAAAGGCCTGTCCAAACAGGACACTTCAGAAATAGTGAGGCGATGCGAGTCAGTCAAACATCGTGGAAGGTGAAGCGTCCGGCAGTTCAGCAGTCCTATTTCTGATTGAACACCACCAAGCAAACATCACGATTTTCCTCCTCGCTTCCTTTGCTTTTCGCGGACCTCGGTGCTCATCAGACTTGACGCCGTACGCCGGGCCCTCGTACCCTTGGACGTGTTTCAGAATTTACTGGATCTTACTCCACGGTCAGGGTTTTCTATCTTTGCATTCGAAAACCTACCCGCATCCAGCGTCGCTCTATCTGTGTTATCACGTGACACGACCCGCCTGAGTAGCTCGGATCTATTTGGGTAAGATTTGAAACACAGCCCTTCCCTTTCCCGTTTTCGGAACCTGAAGAGCAGCAGAGGTCCTGAGCGACTGACTGACGACCAACAGAGCTTGTGAGTGGCTGTAAGGACCCACGTGAGGAGCATGCCCAAGAAAAACACGGGCGAAATGTGGCAAAAAAAAATTTTCCCCCCAGCAAAAAAAAAAAAAAAAAAAAGAACAAAAGCAGATTATTGCACGACTTATGACGGAGTCCTGTCGCCTCAAGATTCCTGAACTATCCTGTTTAAATGGGCCTTTACCTGCAGACAGGTCTAACCTAACTGACTTTCGTTTTAGTTCCACTGTCTAGAGAATTTTGCTTTCTCTACTTCGCTACCGCACGAGGGGGCCGGGCGCTCATTGGTATATGTAGCCAGCTTCATTCAATGCGTGGAGGTCATACGATGTCATTGCCCAACCGCGTCTAGTCAGGAGAGAGTGTTTTTGTGCGACACTCGCAACGTGGAAAAGAATCTGTTCAGGAGAACAAACTAACGGCCTTTCTGCTATTTAATGAGATATATGCAGTACTTATTCCCACCTCAAGACCCGCGGTAATAATGTTAGGCTCCGGGCAGAATGTTCTCCAACTTTACTGGTGAACTACTGTTATTCATTATTTTATTGAAACAAAAAGGTCCGAGGACACCAAAGCACTTATGAGTTGTGAATGCGAAAGCATGATTGCCATTCTTCCACTCCCTTAGTTTGTCTGCGGCATAGTGGCATGAACAGCCACGTGTCGCCGGCGGACGGCTGAGCGCATTTTCGTGAAGTAGCCGCACCGCGCTGAGCTCAATTGCGCCGCCTTTCTGGAATCTGCCTGGATGGCTCTGTTGACTCTGCCGCCACCACTCCCTCCTCTCACCGGCGACCGCGCCACTGCGTGCGCTGTGCCGCCATGGAGAGGGCTTCTCCAGTGGCTTTTTTTGGAATTACACCGCACGAGAGACAATGGGAGTCTTGTTCCTTGTTGATGTGCGCCAGCCAATGGGAGCATAATCCGTCATAAATCGGCTTCACTGAGGAAAGGGTATTTTAGGTGTTGTTTGGCCAACGTTTAGCGTGGCTTCAAAGCTGATGATGTCAGTTCGCTCCACAGTACAGTTAATGCTTTTGCATTAATATGTTAAGAATACAAGAAGCATTGTTATTTTTTCTGGCAATCGAGTCTATGAAGAACTGCCTTGTACGACCTATATGCGAAACATGTTTTTTTTTCCTCGAAGTGACAACGAGCGGCGTTGACCCGAACACAAACAACGTTTGCCGCAGGTGGGACCGAAGGCCGGCCTCGACACGGCAAAGCGGGCGTCCTCCGTGCAAGACGAGTGTCGTAAGGCAACTCACTGTTGGTAAGCGCTGCTCCACTGCCGGTGCAGTGCCTGGATGTGGTCCCCCAAGGCGGCAGCGACGGGGTCCACGCTCCCCTCGGTGGCGAGGCGGTGTGCCTTGGCCTTCACCTCGACCAGGGAGTCCCGGATGTCATTCAGGGAGGACAGCGCCACCTGCGCACCAAGGAGATGCCCCTTTCAGGAAACCGAGTGTGCCCTCAAGCGAGCACAAACTGCCCACCTGCCAATATATGCACTGTCACAAAGCCACGACACGCATCTAACTTAACTTGACCTAGCTGTAATTGTTCAAAATATAATCTATAGTCAGTGACAGGGTAAGAATTCTGTAGATGCCCCAATTATGGCGCATGCTTTCTGCCTCAACAACTCTTCGTTGCACGCAGAGCCAAAGCTTGGCAGAAAGTAACGAGTGCAAGAAGGAGAAGCCATTTTTACTCAAACCTTAGCCAGTCAGACTAGTCTAATTGAGCTTTTAAGCAACTTAACCTACTATATAAAAGAAAACAACAGTCGCCAACCGATTTTGCGGACTTTGCAGGGACCAAAAATCTGTCCATATAATAGAGCAGTAAAAAAAATCAGCAGATTAAAAAACTTGCCTTTATTACGTCTAAGCAGGCTTAAGAAAGCCGTCAACAGTGCTTTGCTTCAGGTTACGCCTCAGCTTGCATTCGCCCTATTTCTATTTAGCTTGAGAATCGCTGCCTTCTTTTCTAGCATTAACGTCGAGTACTTTTTGCGCTTCTTGGTGACATTTCGCGGCGGCGGAAGAACAGATGGAGTCATGACGTCCAAGCCAGCATAGTCCGAAGGCACGATTCATCGAGACAAGAGGAGAAGCGCAAGTTCACCACTGCAGCATAGCGAATGAATAAAGAAAAATGGTAACAACGATGATGATAGTGACGCGCAAATGGAGAAAAAAAAAGCCGCAGCATAACCGCACAGCATCACCTAGCAGTACGACTCAGCAGTGTTCAGGTAGCGCTGCCAGCCCAAGCCCATTCATGTGCAGCCAACATAGAATCTAAAATGGCGGCTTCTCAATGATGTTTTCCGCTGATCGCTCTCAACAATTTTGTCCAAAATATTCAACTTTCGGACTTCAAGCTGTCCAAAACATTGATCGTGAATATGCAGTATTTATATCAGGTAGATAACGGTTCCTCTATTAGTTTCAAAATATCAAACAAGTCCGAATTACCGACCTGACCGAAAAATCGGTCTGCGACTCTATACTTAACGCAATCGTAACACGCTAAACCGTGCCACCTTGAACCCACATCGAACTCAACGTAGCCAAACCGACACATTACTGATCGAATATGACCACACCGCACTGACTTTTTCCCGTTCAGATTCGTTTAGAACTTTGTTCTTTCTTCTCATTTAATCCCTATTTTTTTTTCTCAATTATGCGCTCTTTTGAACAGACCGTCCTCTGAAGTGTGTGTTGCACATTCTGCAGTAACGGCTTCCCTGGCGTTTTGTCAGACTTTGCTTGGGAATCCCAGCTCTTAAACACATTCTGTGAGTATCAAGAACCTTACCTTGAGCTCCTGTGCCCTCTGCTCGACGGCGCCAAGATGGTGGCCGTGGTGCTCCGCGTGGCTGGTGCAGCCCTCCTTGGGTCTCTGCACCAGCTCGGAGACGCTGGTTAGCTCCTCCCGCAGCGCCCCGATGCTCCGCAGGACGTCGGCACGCTGCTGCTCCGTCGACGCATCCGACATGCTCTGCCGCCGCAAGCGGGGACTGCTCTTTGGAGTAGTTGAACCGCCCTGCAGTTCCGCCACCAGCGCCTCCCACTGGCTGATCAGCTCTGGAGGGGAGAAAGACACATTGCATTCTTTAATTCACTAGGAATGACCGTCGGAAATTCTACATAAAAGAGACGAGTTAGCGGATGCAAGCATTCTTTACTGTTGGCATCTCTTAGTTTTGGCAGGATTCGATCAAATGCGTCGTCACTCGACGCATTTGACTAGCTGTATGTGTGTTTGTATTCTGCAGCGCCGCAACATTACCAAAAAGGCTGGTGAAGAAATTACGTAAAAAAGCAAACGTCAATGGACAGCAGAATGGACAAGTGATGGCAGAATGAAATTTAAGAAATATCTATGGCCTTCTTCGTACGGTTGCACGAGCCCCTACCTATTATTTATTTATTTAAAATACTGCCGGCGGCCCAGGGACAGCTAAGATCGGAGAAGTACAGCTTGAAAATTAATTGGAAAAAAATCTCAATGGGTGTGGCAGCACTGCAAGCACGGTTGGTATACAACACAGTATTGTGAGAATGAACACCTCACAGAGAATCTCATTAATTCTGCGGGAATGAGCGCAAACTTGCGGAAGAGCCATGGTATTGCCATGACCGGTACATATGTTCCCATCAACCTGGCAGCAGCTGTGCCATAATAGAAATAAAGATTTCAAAAAATTATAAGACAGAACAGTATATTGAATTTTTGGTACCTATTATTCCATAGACCTGTCAAAATGCTTGGCAGAATATTGTCCCAATGCACTGGTAATTACCAGTATTCAATAGTGCAGACTGCACTAAGTGTTATGTGGCTCATTTGTATACATCATATACAGTTTTTTTTTTTTTAAGATCAGCGATGGAAGTGGCATTTGACTTTTTGTAGCAGGATTTGTAGCAGGCAAAATTTTGGTTTGAAGCAGCCATACAGCCTTTTGGAGCAGATCCAAACAGGCGCTAGCGCATCACCTAAAAATGAAATGATGATTGCATCACTAAGCAGGTCAATCTCTGATAATATTTGAAAGTTCATATTTCATACTGAAGTATATTACGTTTTGCAATTATAATACATATAAATAATCATAAAAAGTACAACATGCGCACTTTCTTTACAAATGAGGCTCAGGTCAATGTAGGTTCCGTTTACAACAAGGATTAAGGGAAAAAAAAGATGGTTATTAGATTAATCGTAGCAAGATTCTTCAGTTGAGATAAAGTGTCTCTCACACTCCCTTCTGCACTCTCATTTAAGGTAGCCCATCAATATCCTTTATGTAAAATTACGGAAAAATCTAGCACATCTGCTCCAACGTCGACCAGTAAAAATGTGTTCTACCAAGATTTACCATCCTAAAAAACTCAAGTATTTAATGTCATAAACTGCGAACCCACGCCCCTCCTCCAAATATTACCAGAAATCAAAGTTGAGCTTTCAGAGTGACACTCCATATGTTGAGACGGAGTTTGGGGTGCTTTCCATTGACTGCTGAGCGGGAACTACCGTGACTAGATATTTAAATTAGGTTAGCGTTTTTTGTTTAGATTTCCTTTTTCTGCACCGTTCTTTAAGATAAGAGGTCGTCCTACAATCAAGACCAAAAAAGGTTGACTTGTAATAGTACCGAGCATAATTTCCGAGTCCCTCACACTAACCCATAGATGCTCCCCCGTGTAAGCCACTTCGCTTAACGCACAGATGCGAAGCGGTGAAGCTCGACGCACGCACGCCTATGCAAGGATGTGAAGGTTGACGCAAACGGCGATAGCGCAACGACGGGGAGGCACGTGGCCGAGAGGAAAATCAAGTGATCCAATGAGGAGTATGAGGCCCTGGTTCTGCCTTATCACAGCAGCCACCATACCACCATTTTATGGATTTTTCTCGAGATTTCTAGCTTCGTGACATGGCCAACATCATTGTTTGGAAGTTCAAAAAATGGTGTGACCAGTGTGTAGACGAGCTAAGTTTAGCTAAGTAGAGACACCGTGAAATACACGTTTTCACCTTTTTCCTCCTTTTCTACTTCTTTCAATATTAGTGTCGACCAATAATAAATTCATTTTTTTGCTTTGTTCAAGCTCATCCTGACGCAGGTATGGGGCTATTTTGAGTAAAAATGGCATTTTGGCGCGACATGTAGCAGACTTCCGTTAATGGCGCAAATTGTGCAGCACTTCCACCACTGTAAAGCCGAGGTCACACTGCTCATACCATCATACAAAAGACAATCTGCAAGCACAAGTCATCGCAGTATTTGGGGTTCGAATGCCGCGTGCCAAGTTTCTCCTTGAACTTAATGTCGTGCAGCATTCGAAGCAGGGGTCTCAAGTGACTCGCGTTCGAATCTGTATGCAGACTGTCTTTTCTGAGACATATAAGCAGTGTGACCATGGCTTAAGATGTAAAATAATTTCCTAATGAAAAAAGGCGCTGGAAAATTAAAAAAATGGTATTCCTTCGGGATAACATTAACCACCGTGGCGGTCGCAGGTAGAGAGTGTAAAGTATTATTTAGCAAATTAATGACCTGAAACTCACTAATTAACTTTTTAAACAATTTTAGTAGGCGCATAACAATTAGAAATGTGTCGCTCGTCGTCAAAACATGCAGTTATTGTTTTATATATTGTCAAAGTATGTCATAGCAGTCATCAGAATATGCCGTGGCAGTTATTGTGAGGTTTAAGTCAGGGGCAAATGTCGAAACAAGACGGGAAAACAGCGTCGAAACTTCCCCCCAGAAGCGACCTCAGCCTCCGCAACAGACGCGGATAGCGAATCAGTCACAGGGAGCTGATAAGAGTCCCGAGAATGGCGCGGTGCAGAATTTAGTTATCTGAATTTCAACAACTGCTGCTTTGGCATAATTTGACAATGGGCAACAAATTTCTAATTGGAATATCTGTCAGCTGGAGCGACTATTTCAAAAATTAATAACTGAATTTTAGGTAATTATTCGCTACTAACCATCCTACACACTCCACCCGATGTCCACCGCGGTGGCTAGGATTATCCCCGAGGAATTATTTATTTATCTCTAGCGCCCTTTTTTTTTTATTACTTACATCTTAGAAAAACACAAGGTATGTAGAGTCACACATTTCTTTTGCGTGCTGTGCTGTGCTGGCTTAATTTCTTCTCTATAAGCATGAACCAGAGTCACCAACCTCAATGGTCACCTCAAGCTGTCTAAGCATTCAGTGTCTCATTTGTATGTTTTTATTCGTTTTCCAGCATACCGTAATATCCCGAGTCATCGCCCACCCCCCTACCGCCTGAAATTTATTAAAAAAGTGGGGAGGTTAATGTCTCGGTGGGTGAGCACAAACACTTGAAAAAAGCGGAAAAAATCGCCCATTTTTTTTTCTGCGTATTTAGCGCTGATGCACAAGAGATGCATTAAACTCAAAACTTGATTTAGTTTTATTGTTTTATAGAAAAAATGCTCACGAGAGAATATTTTACTATAGCGAAGTCCGTTGCTTGCATACGCGCTAGGAACACCGCCGATCTGCATATAGCGCGAACGTTTGTTCCGTGGAAGAATGTCACCACTATGTTCTCCTAGTTAGTAAAAAAAAGACTACAAGAAAATAGAAAAACCGACCAGGCGCAACGAGCGAGCGAGCAAGCGAGCGGACCAAAGAAGCGACCAAGAGCAATGCTAGGAAAGCTTCCCGCTTTCCTAGCCGGCGATTGCGTTGGCAAATACTTTGGCGTCGGGCCAAAATTGCAGAACTTTCTTGTTTGGTGCGTACATACGTGCGTCCGTCCGTGCACGGCGTGCTATGGGGGTTTGGGACGCTCTACAAACGTCTGTGTAGGGTGTTCCAGCAAAGCTTTATGTCCGCGTTGGCTTTGTCTAAAATATTGCACAACCGCGGTCGCGACGTGCGGGAAGAAGGAGCGAATTCGCGGCGACCTTACTTCGGCGGAGACAGACTTTGACCTAACACCTCCGCGGTTACATTAATAAACTCTTAGTTTATTAATGTAAATGTGGCCCACGGCCGCGTCATTCGGGTAGGATGAGTGTTCGCGGATCGCAGAGTCCGCGTTGGGGTATTTGAAGGGGTGGGCGATGACTCGGTGTTTTTTCGGAAATCGATATTGGCCCAAAAAATGGGGTGGGCGATGACTCGGGATATTACGGTAGTACATCTAAACATATAAGCTAAAGGAAAACATGTGTATATAGGGCTAGGGCTAGCGGGAAAATTGACGTCATGTAACCTCAACACCAATTTAATCGACTACTAAATTTAGCGGAGACGGATGCTAAAAAGAGCTGCGCTCTAAAAAAAAAAAAAGAAGCAACAATAACAGTCGCCAGGGGCCTTTCAATCAATCCCCCTTCGTTGATAGTGTTCAAGAAATTAGGCGGGCGGGCGGCGAGGAGGGGGGGGGGCTTTTTAAAATTATTGTTTTCCAGAAATTACCGATTTTCCTGCCCTCCCTCCCTCCTCCTCCTCCTCCTCCTCCTCCTCCCCCCCCCCCCCCCGCCACTGCCCCCATCATCTAAGCACTAGGCAATACAGGTCGAAAATCTTACACCAGCTCCAGTTGCGTTGTTTTTTTTTTTGTTGTTTTTTTTTCAGTTAGAACGTTGAACTTTAAAAAGAGAAAACAGCGATCGCTAGGAATTCTTTTCTAGAGGGCTGATGTGCTTGAGATGTCTCTGACTTGGGGTAAATAAGGGGGTCCAAACTCCCCCTCCCCCCTTTCGCCGCCACCACCACCACCACTACGCACGCACGCGCACAGAACACACACACACCACACACACACACACTTACATATTGATCGCCTGTGTCCTCTTCTCCAAAAACCACCAAGGCGCGAGAACCGTTTATCTCAAGTGCGCCACCCAATGGTAATTAAATTCTAAAATATATATATATATAATTGCTTGTAATTATTTTAGTTCCAAAACACAGGCCTCCACTCACTAAACACAGCAGAACTACTACTATTTTCCTAGACCCGTCGAGGCTGCCAAGAGTTCAAAGTTTCCCGCGACAAAATCCCGCCACACGCGGAGAGCGGATAG